AAGCACGACAAAAAATGGGGAAGTGTTGCAAGTCACAGAAATGAATGCTGTTTCTGTGTGACCAGTAATTTCCAACTTAATCTGATTTAGATACGAAGATCAAGCTGTTGTGGCCGCGGTCCGATTGTGGAAATTATCATGCATACTATGGACTCAGGACAAGCTGCGTTCCTCTAGGTCTTCTCGCCTATTTGTGTTAGTCGGAGAAATAACTGCTATGTTGTGACGCCTTTTTTGGTCGAAGTCTCCACTAGCTGCATAGAAATTGTCTGACCTCGTTTTCACCACTTGGTCGCTTTGTCGAGGCGACCTAATTGGATACACCTCGTCCGAAGTCCCCTGCCACTATAGTTTTTATGATTCTCATAATCGAATTGTGGACATGGTACATTCCCAGACGTTTCGCCAGCAACCTCAGCTAGTACTACCAGTCTTAGCAGCAAGCTAAAATGTGTCAGACAAGCAAATCCCATGAACAGTTTCTCCCAAATGGTTGTCATTACTCCTTACGTAGCACATATACTCCCTATCCTCTTATCTTGCTCCCTACCTACCACAACTTCCGACCCGCTTATATTCGAATCCTCCAGAGGTGTTCTATTTCTGTCGAGCTTAGAAGGCGTTATACCATCTGTTTGTTTACCTTGCTTCTCTTCCCTCTCAGTTTGCCGGAATTGCTGATCCGACTAGGACCTTTTATCCAAATCTCTTCCATGGCTATGGAGATCCGTTTCTTATCTTACCCATTGACTGATTTAACCTGGTTCCATTAACAAGATACGTTTTACTCAAGGCGCTTTTTTCAGTATGAATTATCGATAAGACACGCCCACGGTATTACTGACATGAGCATCGATCTCAGGCCCGATGGATTAGGTTTTTTGTATAGAAATTTACTGCACGATTCTCACCCAGAGCGGACTGCAGCTTCAATCTCGCATCTCATTTCAATCAATACCTTTGGCGGGATTTTATCCGTGTATGAAAGGGTTCTGAGGCATTACTTTATAAACGCAGTTTCAGTGCCATTTAAGCCTTCTCATTTTCATTCAACCTCGAATGGCTATGTCTTTAGAGCCACCTTAATAGGGTTTATCTTGCCGACGATTACGATTCCCAATAGCAGCATATTCGCAGAGTGAAGAGACCAGAAGGAGACATATTTCGTGGCCCAGTTTTATGGGGCAGAAAAACCTACCTGTGATGTGTTTATGCACTGTGGTGATCGATATGAGATGTGGAATCAACAATTTAATGCTACCTAAAATGATTCGCCTGAGAAGGATGATTGTAATTGTACTAGAAAGGCAAAAGCCATGTTAATCGGTAACATTATGCCTTTAAGTGTACGCAATCTTCTATAGGATCATGGTGTACAAACTAACAAGACTTTTCGTATATAAGTAGTTTCGAGACAATCTCTTGTAACAAGACTTTTACCCAAATCGCTCAGCCCTAATTAGACACAAATTGAGTGAGTCAAGCTCACGATTCAATTTGTCTCGGGACACTGTTATGCCAAATGACCAATAATGTGACTCGACAATCTCATTTGTGAACCTAACACAAACCCCAAAGTACACTTGACTTCATCATTTCTAGAAATGTCTTAAGGCGATTTCATCGCCACGATGCTTGCCATGATGAAATGTCTGGGTTTCTCTGTACACGTCTTAAAAACTGCATGCATTGATATATAATCATCTGCAATTACATTAAAATCATAAAACAATAAATTCAAAAAGAGAAAGTGTCAAGATAAGTATCGTCAAATCATTAAGATAATATGCAGACATCAGAGGATATACCTGATGTTTCATAATTAGGTCTGTTGTTGACTTCATTTTTGAATAATTGGGGCTAACGCAGCGCCAACCCCATCAAATAATTCAACTGAAGAGTATTCCAAGGTGAATTAGCATATTAAATCCAATCGTAAGTGTACACTTGGCACTAGCTCATGGCATGCATTTAGAATAATTAGATTAGATGAGGCTCATCCAAAAGTGAATACGAATAGACAGCTGCTCAAAATGCAAGTATAATCTCAAATATTATGACGGTCCAACCGCGAATTCAAGACTAGCGAAGAAGGTAGCGTCAGGCCTTCTGTAGGTAAACGACCCTTTCAACAGGTTGATGGCATGGGATAATGGGAGCAATCAGCTAAGGTGCATTGGCATGAGTAGTGGCACGATCCATGTCGATTTAGGCCAATGTATTCAGATTTATCTATCTTCATAATAACAAACATGCGCAAAAATGTTTCTTTTATTATAATAGTAGTCATGCCTTTCAATAAATTACTTGCTCCAAACTTTCGTTGTCAGTTTGATTGGGAAGTTTAAGAACACCAATCGCTCCAACCGCTGTGACATTTGAGAGATTATGATGCTTAATCGATGCGTTATGGCTATGTTGCTTGTCAGATATTGTATAAAAAGCAAAAACCGATTGGTTTGCGTTACCTCAAGCTAAGATAAGATTTAAGGACAGCAAGCTTTTCAGCGTGCGTTAAATACTAAAATGATAACAAAGTAAGTTGAAAATATTTGAAAGTGGTCAGGGCACGAAAATGGTGGTAGTGAATAAGTTGCTAGTATGAGCTTCTACTTACCAGATAAAGCAAAGGCAATTGTATATTTCTATCATTCTAGTGCGTACCGTAGTCTTGCTTCTATGTTTACGCAAAAAATTTCATTACTTCAAAAAAGAGTCGCAAAATTCCATATGCTGTATTCAAGATCTATTCCCTAAATGTGATAAGACAGAATGAAAAGAATGCAAAAAAGAGTATAGCGGACCAGATGGAACAAAAGTGATCGCTTCACGCTTCAAAATTGAAGTTGGTCGTAAATATGAACCGATATGGAATGAAAGCTATCATAAATGCAGAAGAGGTTGCAAATTTATTCAGCAATACTAAGCACCAGTTTATGATAAAAAAATAAAAATCCAACGGTTGGCTGAATCTCGAGGACAAAGACAAGAAAAAAATTGGCTGGTTGATACTCTGATTAGGGTATAACAAGGGTAGACCAGATGTAGGAAAACGAGTATGACTTATGATTGTGCGGAAAAGATTGACTAGGTGGATCGAACAGTAAGAAAAATTACGGTTAAGTGGGCAATAGTCTAAAAACATAATGTTTTAGGTAGAGCTAATCGTCTGGGAATACTATATGTTTCGGCTTTTCTGCAAACGGTTTAGGATGTTGGCTAACATAATTGAATCCACCTAGGCTTGGGCGCTTGGGACGAGGTAAAGAAATCTTGACCGCGTCCTTACATGCTCCGCATGGTCCATTCATATTAGATGGCCTTGAAGAGACTTTTGTGATTTCTTTTATGACTCCAGGTACCTTGATTTGGACACTTCCCGACTCCCCTAGTTTTCTCCCTCCATCTTCACGGGACTCAATTATGCCGTTTGCCTGGCGACGACTGTGCCTGCGAGCTTGTTGATTGGCTCTTCTGCGCTCACGAGCATTGCATCGAGAGGCCGAAATCACTCTACAGTATGAGGCTTCATCAGCCTCTGTCAAGAGGCGAGCTGTCACTCCCACTAACTGGGATTGCTGACGAGCTGCAAGAAGAGGTGATGGAGCAAATGGACTAATGCGACTGCATATGGTGGAGCCTTTAGTTCCTGTTGACGAGAGATGAGAAGAAAGAGCCGGAGAGGTGCCAGTATGGGAATCATGAACCCGCTTTTCATATAAGAGCGAAGCCTCGGTCGTATAAGGCGATTGTGGGTTTTGCTGCTGTTGGAACTGGAGGAACTCAATAAAATGCTGTGCTGCACCAGGTGTTCGAAAACGAATGAAGCAGCGTTGAGATGATACAGGTGAAATGGCCTGATTGTCAGGATTGTTAGCAAGACGGTAGAATAAAAAAAGGATAGAAAGCAAGTATGAGAGAACTAGAAGCCGATGGTAACTAAAGGAAGTCTGGAAGCGGCAAAAATATATATTCTAATGGGATAACTCTTAATTGTCTACAAACTGATGTAAGAAGGATAAGACAAATATAGAAGTGGGTTGACCTCGTTGTCAATGGTACTGTAACGTAAATCACATGATAATGATTAAATAGGGAAAAACTGTCTGCAAACTAAAGGTAACAACCTTATATCTTAATATAAACCGAGGTTACCAGTAAATCTTGAATAAGAATTATAGTCAACCTAGATCACAAAATATGATAAAGGGTTGATAGTCAAATTTCCCAACAATAATAGAGGTGAAAATGCTCAATTGTAATGTACTCATCTAATTAGGAAACCAAGATAGGTAGGAATTTTAAATTTATCGATACGAAGAAGGCAAATAGTAACACAAAGTGCAACTCAGAGTTCTTAAGCTAAAACCATTATCATTACGGCTTGAGGATCTTACCTCTTCTGAGTGGGACAATGCAGCTAGAAGCTCGAAGCGTGGGTTAGGGTCAAGATGTGCGATTTGACCAAGCAGACCCGCAGGTTGGAGTAGATAGTGCTCAAGAGATAGGCGAAATAAACGCGTTCGACTGGTTGCTGGCACAGTGACGATAGTGGCGGTCGCCTCGTTAGTGGCAATTTCTGACAATGCTGTTGGAGGCGCAGAAAACTCAGAGAGAAGACGGTCTGGCCAAATTATCTATGGAAAGGATTTCAGATAAAATAAGAAAATAAGGGTTCGAATAGGAACTTATTTAACAAAACGACTATGCTAGGATATACAAGAGATGACTTGTCCTTTAAAGGGACAAAATTACCGATATTTTTACCACTTAGCTACATTAATAGTATAACCATTAAATCTAGACACTAGTGTTACTACTGCAGGCTTTCCTTACAGTGATCTCTACTTTAACCATTAATGAGAGTGGTCTAATGTATTAAAAAGGAACAAAGTAATTCATATTAATTCAAGAGTCAAAAATAGCCTGATGCAGGACAAAAACAACTGTAGCATCTCAAATATGAAAAAGGTATGCAGAGGTTTAGACTGGTTCCGTAATCTTGTTCAAATACGAGGAGACTTAGAAAAACATACCAAATGGCATCTCCTTCAAGTAATGTCATCTTTCCTTCCGGCAAACTACCGACTTGTAGATACATCCTCAGAAGTTTCAAAACGCCCAGTGGCTAGCTTTGTCAATGAGAAGAAGAGGTCTTGGTTAAAAATCAAGTAGAGCCTATCAGCCAACATCGTTGAATAATGCTCTTACTCTCATAGATAATGAGGCCTTTTCTATTCCTTGGTTACCACTCCTACCTTATGTCACCAAGGCTCAACTCTTCCAGATTCGCGCCAGATATCCTTACAACAAACTTTAGAGGCGAGTCTCCATGGAATTTATTGGGGCAAAGCCGCATTGGGTGTCAACCCTACCAACAAACTTTAACAATACTTATAAATCCACCCAGCCCCTCAACAAGTAATGCCAGTCCTTCCATGTTATAGCCATTTTGACATTCCGCTAGGCCTACTCATTATAACAACAGTATTAGTGATACCCTAATAAGTATTCGTGCATAATAAAGCTCCTGATCTGCCCGTTTACCATAAAATAAAAGAGATAATTCTGCAAATCATCTGCCCCTTGATTGGTGCGTCTCTCAGATCCATAAGGAGAATTAATGCATATTCAAGAAAAAACATAGAATAAAGATCTCCCTCCTGTGGCCCGTAGCTCTGTATGCCTAGTTGAGCTCATAACCAATCTGTGGCCTTCAATTGTGTTATTGAAAAAGTCCCAGGGGAATAGTGGTAAATATCGATCTTTTAATATAACAAACTGGGTGACTGCTTAGTAGTAACTCGGGTTCATTATAATAATTTGATTAAATACGCTTATAATCAACTGGTCGTTAGGCAATCAGGTCAAGGCATGAATGTAAGGTGCCTTAGTCTCAGTATGGCAATGCTCATGTTTGTAATTTTTTGTTTGGCCCTATAAGGCCTAACTCCATTTCGCTTCTAAAGCATCCATTCCAACTTCTTTTGTCGAGTTGTGAATCTCTAACATATGATTCATGGATAACACAAAAGCTTGTAAGACATTTTCTTCAGATGCGGCCAGTCGATTGGTTACGTTTGTTGACCCTGAGTTTCTGGTCCGATATTTTTTATTTATTTATCCTAGTTATTTGCGACTTCAATCAACAACGTTACTCAATTTTGTAATAAGTAGTGTTTGTGACTATTAGTAATTCTTGAAAAAGCGAGCTACCTCATTTCTTTGGTATAGTTGAGGATTGACTAAATTCACTTGATTGAAGATGTTGGAATGGCTCAGGAAATATTTTTCGTGTAAGTAT